CCCGGCGAACCGGGCCATATGCGATGGTGCTGCGGCCAAAACAAGTCCGAGTGGCTCTGCCTGAGCTGGGAGGGCAGGAGGGAGGGGGAGAGAGAGAGAGCGGGCCTCGGAATCCGTTCCCATACCGGTGGCTAAATTAGACCAGGGTATTTTTATATTTTTATTCTTTGAAAAGCAGCGTTTCTTCATGAGGGCCCGGAATTCTTGTGCTCTTTGCAACTCTTTATGTATGCCTTGCAAAGTAACAAGCAACAACAGGTTGTTTTTCCTAGTTGCTTTCATCAGCAGATGTTGATGAAACATTAGTTATGCTGGGTATGTTTCAGCCATACTACTTGTTTTCTGAAACACAGAGTGTTTTGGTATGGAATTACTTCATTTCATCAACTTCTTGGCTTCTTACCTCGCCGCTACGATTGTTTTCTTCCATTTAATAAATATGTTTCTACGTTCTTAGTTTGTTCTTCCTGTTTTAACATGCAGTGAAACGTGTTTGAAATATTATTTACCGTAATATGTGTTTGAAATCATCACGGGTAGCCTACTGCTCAGTAAGTCCACGGGTTGCTTTTTGGTTTTATCATCCTCTTATATTTTCTTCTGTTTAATGATTTTGCTAAACTTAGTATGTGTGAAAAAATTGTGAAGAAGAAGTGAATGTTTTTGCATGTATGACGTAAACTGCAATTGTAAGAAATCACAGCCATATTTGATTAAGTTGGCAGGTTGGACAGACATTTGCTTCAGCTGAACATGGAGGGGTTTATCTTAAATTTTTCAAGCTACACTTAACTGTGTGTGGCATTCAGTGCATTAAGGAGGAAGTGTGGGTGCGGGCAGTTTTATATACTAGTGCCAATCCCGTTTCCTAGACAAAGCTAGGAATTAGTAGGGAACAGAAGAGGACAAGACCAGGAAAGTAATTTCCTATATAATGGTTTTATCACAGTAGATACTGGAAAAGTATCTAAATCACTTGACCTTGACTTCTCCTGCAGTTTCTTTTGTGTAGACAGGTTGCCAAGCCCTCTCCCCTACTTTGTTTTGCTTCAAGTTTATGAACTCTGCACATGGGCAGCCAATGTTCTGACTATATAAAGGGCTCTATTTCTTTTCTTTTAAATTTTCTTTTTAACAATGTGTACTTTAAATAATCCTGATGAAAGTCAGTTAATATATTAATACTTTATCTCCAGGGTTATTTTTTGTGTGTTTAAATTTGGCCTCATGTGGTCATCAGTCATGTGCTCACTCAAAATATAATATTCCATGTTTTATTTTTTACTAATGGATTCTTCTACTGATTTAACTGTATATTTATAGGGTCTTAACTGGTGTAGTGTACCAGTATGGAAAGCTAGTAGTTATGTGATCTTGGTGGTTCAAAAACAAATGAAGTTGTGCGTGCTCCACATTAGCTCATTTACCCTCATGAGATTGACAGTGGTGTAATCTATATATATACCTGTACATACAGAGGGCTGATAGGCTGTCAGCCTGTTTAATAGGTGATGAAGCATATTTATATTTTTTCAAAAAGTATCATGAAGTTTAGGTCACCTTTTTCTTGTAACATTTGTTGTAAAACAAAACTTCTCACTTAAATATTGTGTTGCTTTATTAGATTTAGCTTTTTTTTTTCCCCTCACCCAGATATGTCTTCTAGTGCAATTTTTCCCTTTGGCTCTAGTTTTTGTCAGAGCCTGTTGCTTTGTACTTTTCTATGCAGATCTTCTGAAGGTCGTATTTGTCTGTTGTGCAGATCAAACCTTTCTACCTCATTCCACTCCACACTGATTTTGCTGTTCTTAATGGTTATTTGGCACTTTAAAATGTCCTAGTTAGCCTCCTATGTTCCTGGTTTTGTGTCAAAAGTTGAACAGTAGCTCTAGAAATAGTTGCTTAGCGATAATACCATGAGTTTAAACTACCCGAAATAAACATTTTTATTTTCAGAACAACAACCTATTAAAATGTATGGCTGTGCTTCAGTTATACGATGAAGCTTGGTGTCAGCTGAAAATAATATTGTTTAGATTGTTTGTAGTTATGCTCCTGTGTGAAGTATGTGCACATCCACATCTCTCGGTAAGAGCTATAGGAAAAATCAAGGATGGTGAAAGCCGTTTTGGTCTGTAGAGCCATTTTCTGTAGACAGAAGCAAAGACTTCTTCGCTGATCTTAAAGAGAGTGGCTTAGACCTTGAAAAGCATTAGCCTGCACATGTCTTTAATCCCTGAAATATGTTAGAAAGGTAAAATACTGCTGTAAACAGCCAAATTCAGTACTCTTGAGGCTTGGAATATTGCACCTGAACTTCACTTTCAGATAGAAGATTAAGTAACAGTTACAAAAGATGACCGGATTATCAGAGCATTTTCCTTAAATATCTGTGTAATCACAATTTGATGAACAAGATTAAGTCAGAATGTGGTGTCTCTAAACCCATGTGTAGTTTCTGGGATTGTTTTTTATATTGTAGGTGTGCGTGCGTGGTTATAGAAGGTCATTACAGCCAGAATCTTCCAAGGCAAAGTGGAATAAAATGTTTTTCAAGATTGTTATTTGAGATTGATGACATGGGGAAAACAAAAATCAAGATTTCTGTGGTTGAGAATGAAAAGAGACAGTTGGAAGATGAGCTGAGTGCCCAGTTTATGCATATCACCAGCTCTTTGTATGTTACTTTCTGTAAATTGCTGATCTGGCATTTCTTCTTATTTGTGAAGTATTGAAACCACTTAGACTTTGGGAAAAGCAAGTCTCCTCAACTTTGGCAAGCAAAAGAACAAAGGCTTCTGTAACTACTTTGTAAGTTAAAGAAATTTGAAAGGTGCTACCTAGCAGAAATCTCCTCAGTCTAAACATTTGGAAGATCTGCATGAGTTTCAATTTATGATATATGCAGAGTTTGAAATTCTTTCATGAGATTTCTCAGGGACCAGAGCTGATGGTTACTTTTCGGCATGAGGGTAGAGGGAGTAGTTTTATAATTAGAAGAATGAATTTCCAAATTTACTTGATTTGAAAACAGACCTTAACAGCGTGCTGGAAAAAGGATAGCCTACATCGTTGCACTTGAAGTGGATATAGTTTTATCCACTAGAAATTGTATTTCTCTTCAGAATCTTTTCTCATAACAGTAAGTACTATCAAAACATTGCAAGTTACTCCCAGCATTTCTGTAGTTGTCCACATGGCTGCATAACTGTACTAGATATTATTTTATGTTTTTTGGTACTAACTGAAATAAATGCAAGGTGAGTCTGATCTAAAGTAACAAGGTAATGCTGTGAGGGGTAAACACTACTTTATCTTCTCATACTGTGGCATCAGTTTACGGCCTTCCAGTGTGATCTGACTTCCTGAAATAACGATTACCTAGTTTGCTTACATTAATGGTGGTATCGTGAGTCACTGCTGGAAAAATAATTCTTAGGTTTATAAGCTTGAAAGCTAAGAAGTAAAATTTAGTAATGCACTAGAGAAGGTAGTGTTCCTTGGATTTATTTTAGTAGACAAAAAAAAAAAATACAGGGGTGTATGACTCAACTGTTGTCTGTCTTGCTTTGTGGGGATGA